ATAAACCCGGTCAGGCATGGTGGCTCATGTCTGTAATCCTAGCACTCTTGGAGGCCAAGGTAGGTGGATTGCTTGAGCTTATGCGTTTGAGACCAGCCTGAGGCAGAGCGCAACCCCATCTCTACTAAAAATACAAAAAAAAAAAAAAACTGAGGCAAGAGGATCGCTTGAGCCCAAGAGTTGTAGGTTGCTGTGAGCTATGATGCCACAGCTCTCTACCCAGGGCAACAGCTTGAGACTCTGTCTCAAAACAAACAACAAAAAGAAAGAAAGAAACCCTTGGGAACAATTTGTAATCTTTCTTGCTAATCCTTAGTTGGTATCCATCATGGCTGAATCTAATCTTGAATTTCTCCGGACTTGATTAAGATATGTTTACTAATGTGCTCTCAATCTTTTATCATCAGACACTGGAGTTGAGGAGCAGCTAGCATCTCTTGACAGCTGCTGGAAGGGATATCCTACTGCCAGAGCCTTCTGGCTTCCTACTCCTGCACAGAAAACTCAGCCATTTGGTTGTGGTTTTCTCATATGTAAAATGAGAGCTTGGGGGATAGAGACTAGATTACTAAATTCTCTTTCAAATCCATCTACGTATCTTGGAGACAACTTCCCTCTCAGCTCATAGAAGAGATAAAAACCTTCTTTCCAACAGGAATTTCCAAAAAGTGACCTCTTGGTAGACATTTCTTGAAATATTCATTATTCCATTCAATAAATACCTATTCCCACTAGGCTGTGAAGTTCTTGGAGGACAGTGACAAAACCGACTGACCACTGTAACCTCCAGCACCCAGCACAGTGCCTGCCATCAAGTACACACTCAAAATTATTTTTCAGTTTTTTTTAATTAAAAAAAAATTATGGCTCGGTGCCTATAGCTCAACCGGCTAAGGCGCCAGCCACGTACACCTAAGATGGTGGGTTCGAATCCCCAGCCCGGACCCGCCAAACAACAATGACGGCTGCAACCAAAAAATAGCCGGGCGTTGTGGCGGGCGCCTGTGGTCCCAGCTACTTGGGAGGCGGAGGCAAGAGACTCGCTTGAGCCCAGGAGTTGGCGGTTGCTGTGAGCTGTAATGCCATGGCACTCTACCCAGGGGGACAGCTTGAGGCTCTGTCTCAAAAAAAAAAAAAAAATTATGTTTGTGGCTGGGCATACCTATAATCCTAGCACTCTGGGAGGCCAAGGCAGGTGGATCGCCTGAGCTTAGGAGTTCAAGACCAGCCTAAGCAAAATTGAGATCCATGTCTACTAAAAATAGAAAAACTAGTCAGGCATTGTGGCAGGTGCCTGTATTCCCAGCTACTTGGTGGCTAAGGCAAGAGGATCACTTGACCCCATGAGTTTGAGGTTGCTACAAGCTATGATGCCATGGCACTCTACCCATGGTGACAGAATCAGATTCTGTCTCAAAAAAAAAAATTATGTTTGAGAGGGGTCTCACGAAGTTACTCAAGCTGGTCTTGTACTCCTGGGCTCAAAAGATCCTCCTACCTCAGCCTCCCAAGTAGCATAGGTGAGCACCACCAAGCCTGAATCTAGGTGTTCAATTAAAAACAAGGTGCAGAAGCTCAGTGGTAGGGCCACACAACAGTAGTTATTAAAGCTCCCCAGGTGGTTTCAGTGTACAGCTGGGTGAAGCCAGGCCACTGCACGCAGGGAAGACCCCCAAGGACTCTTTCCTGAGAAGGTAGCTATAGCTATGGAGGGCAATCAAGTGGCAGAAGAGCTACCCCCCAGAAGAGCTGAGAGAAACCAGAGGAGATAGAAGAAAAGAGGCCACTGAGAACAGATGGCCCCAACCTGCTCCCCAGTGCCCCTCTTGAAAAGGGGACTTCCATTTGGTTCTAAGGACATGGAAGTTCAGAGAAGCTGATGTTTGGTCCCTGTCCACACCCTTCAGCAGCTCCTAGGTCTCTGATCCTCGCTGTCCCTGATAGCGCATCTGAGAGCAGGGCAGAGTTGATGTCATCAACAAGAGTCATCTCTGTCTCCTAACTCAGAGGAAATTGTCCTGTCCTTACCAAGGGACATGCAAAAACAGCTGATCAAGTTTTGCATAATGAAAGATTTTTCTTTATGTGAAAGTTAAATACACACACACATAGTGAAGAGGCTTCAGCACAGGGCTGTGCCCAGTGGGAATAAGCAATAGCCTGTTGGCATTTAGGGCACTTTCAGATATGGCCTCCTACCCTAAGTTATGGAATTTTATCATGGGAATCTCGTTTCTTTTTTCTGGCAATTCTTGGCTCCAGAGAAATGCAGTCCTGGTCTCACTGAGCTGAGATGTCTCGCAACTTCAGAGATTTTGACACTGCATTTCTCACCCCTCCCTCGAGAGCAAGTTTTAATAAGGAGAGGAGGCCAAAGGACGAGACACTGAGGGAGAAGGGGATGGGGAGAAGGGCTCATCTGTGAACAGAGGGGCCCACATATGTGCCCAAAGCTGTCCAGGGCCTGAGCTATGTCCCAGTCGGTCTTCACAACATTTCTACTCTCAGGTTTAATCAGCTCCATTTCACAGATGAGGACATCAAGGTTCAGGGAGATAATGTTTTTTAATCAAGGTGGCAGCCAGTAAATGGTAAAGTCACAATTCCTGACCAGAAGCCTCTATTCTTTCTATGGGGAAAGCCCCTTCTGGGGGTGAGGTGGGCACAAAGAATCAGCTCATGATTCACAGCCTTGCACTAGAAAAGCAGCAATGGTGAGCAAGTAGAGGGGACCTGACAGTCCACACAGCTGAAGCTCTGTGGCCTGAGGCAGCCCAAGGCCTGAGTTTATCATTTAAGCAGCCAAGACCCATCCCCCTCCAGAAGGCTCAGTAAATCATCCATCAGGGGCTCTGAAATGGCTAGGCAGGCTGAGAAAATCTCCAAGATGTACAGTGGGGCCTGAAATCCTGAAGGTAGAAACTTCAACTCCACTCCCCAACCCCCCAGTGGCAAAGTTCTAGGAGCCAGGAGCAGGGATGCTGGGGCCCCATAGCAGCCCTGCAGGGAAAGGAGGCACCTTGGATCCAGCTAGATGGGGAGGATCGTCTGGTCTCCCAGCATAGGACCCTTCCCAGGAGAACAGCCCCTGGGAAAAGCACAGCCCCCTCTCAACCGCAGAGACAGCTCCTCCCTAAGATCTGGAGACTTGGATCAAAAAATTTCCCCACTTCCTAGACCTCCCGTCTCTGCCACCCACACATCTTGGCCCCTGGCAAGGACTGTGCCCTGGTCAGGACAGCTGGCAGCCTGTGTGCTTCCACCCCCACCCTCTGTCTGTTCCCAACTTCCACATTACACCACTGGGGCAGGAGGAGGAGGCCCATCTAGAGGTGAAGCCTTAGAGGGAAGGGGGGCATGGATCCAGAAGAATATAAAGGGCCTCAGAGGCGCTGGCCAGAGACCCTTTGCTGTGCCGCTCTGCATCTACCCTGCACCATGGTAATGTCTGCTGGCAGTTGTTTTCTCCAGGAGCTTGGGGATGGGGGTTAGTACCAAGGTCCCTCCCCAAGCCCACTAAGGGCATGAAGGAGTGAGGCCAGGGAAGCCTTCTCTGTCGTTCCGATTGCCAGGACGGTTGCCAGGGCTTCCTGTCCTGCTTGGGTGGTGGGATGAGGGAGTTCCTTGGTAAGAGAGGGTTGAGGGGCTCAGGAGCTCTGGAAGTATATATTATGTTTCTGGGCATCACAGACTATAAATCATTGTATGTGCCTATGTGTTGCAGGCACAAAATTCTCTGTACATTAGGAGTGTGTGTGTGTGTGTGTGTGTGTGTGTGTGAATACCTGGACTGGCATTCCTGTATGTAACTGTGTCAGGTATTCATTAACATGTATTATTAGGTACCTCCCAAGTGTCAGCCTCTGTTCCATGTGCTTGTGATACATCAATAGACATAACAGCCAAAGCGCTCAGCTGTAATTAATGGTGCTTAGAACGAAGGATGGAGCATCACTGGGAAGGGACTCAGACCATAAATATAATAAATAAGTATATAGTAAATTAGAAAATGCAATGGGAGGCTGGGCATGGTGATTCATGCCTATAATCTTAGCACTCTGGGAGGCCAAGGCAGGTGATTGTTTGAGCTCAGGAGTTTTGAAGCCAGCCTCAGCAAAAGTTACATTCTGTCTCTACTAACAATAGCTGGGCCTTTGTGGCAGGGGTCTGCAGCTACTCCAGAGCCTGAGGCAAGAAAATCTCTTAAGCCCAAGAGCTTAAGGTTGCTGTGAGCTATGATGATGCCATGGCACTCTGCCCTGGGCAAAAGAGTGAGACTGTCTCAAAAAAGAAAAAAAGAAAAAGAAGGAAAAGAAAAGAAAATGCAATGGAGAAAAAACAGAACAGGATGAGAGGTTTGGGTTGCAATTTTGAATAGGGGTGTCAGAGCAGGACCTACCTAGAAGGCAAATTTTGAGCTGATGCCTAAAGGAGGCGACAGAGCTGGCCATGTGATATCTGGAAGAAGTCTTCCAGGCAGAGAACAGCATGTCTGGGTTTGGAGGGAACAACGAGGAGAAGGGAGAGGGGTGAGAAGCTTGCGGGCAAGTCAGCAAGGTTAGGGACCACCGGCTTCAGGCCATCCTGTGCGTCCGTCTCAGGAAGTGCCTCCTGGTCCAAGAGAGGAACAGACTCCTAGAACAGGCCTGACACTTGGGAGGTACCCAATAATACAGGTTAATGAATACCTGACACAGTTACATACAGGTCCCTAACCAAGGCTCTACTACACATGGTACTCTGTGTGCATCACTGTGCACGTCCCGGTGAACACCAGGATTCCCCTTACGGCGGTCGCGCACCTGCGTATGTCCCAGAGGCAGGCACGCCCTCTCACCCCAGCTCGCTCACTTGACCAAGCGTCCCCCAGTCCCATTGGGGTGCAGTGCGCACCACAGACCCGCCGTCACGTGACAGCCTGCAACTCTGTCTGCTCCGCCCCCTCTAGACGCCAGCTCTGCGCTGCGCGTGCGCATTGGCCGTAGTGTGCCTTGTGTCACTACTGCAGTGGCCCCAGGGCGCTCTCGGAGAGGAGCTGCAAGAGCTGCTGCCCCGCTGGCCCAGGGCGGCCAGTTGGCTGGAGAACTTAGGCCATATCCACAAGTATGTGGGAAAGTTCCTCAGCAGCAGGTAGGCTCGAGAGGGCGCGCGGGAGGAAGGAAGCGGGTGGGAGGACACGGCCCCGCACGCGCATCGCGGCCTGGGCTGCAAAGGTGTGTTCCCCAGCTTGAAGAAATTTATAAACAAGAAACCTGAGAACGCCACGAACCTCTCCCCACCGACCTCCAAGAACCTCTCCCTTCCGACCGCCAAGAACCTCTCCCAACCAAATGCCACGAACCTCTCCCCATCCATCCTCTCCCCACCGAACGCCACGAAAGTCCAGGCACTGAACGCCATACAGCCCCCACCATCCACCTCTTCCCGGGGCCCCAGGTAGGAGAGCACAGACACTGCTGGCGCCTAGGAACTGGGGGCAACTTGGGTTGGAGCGAGAGGAAGCTCCTGCGGGCTGAAGTGGGGAGGTACTAGTGCCCCCAGGGACTTCCTCCTCCTAGCTACCTGGACCTTGACCTCCAGACACCTGATCCACTGGATCTCACTGCTCGCCAACACCTTTATATTGTGAAAAGGGCCTCAACTCCACCCCACCCCCTCAGTGAAAGCAATAAAAAGACACAAAATCTCCATTGCTTCTATGACTTCTGTGGGCTTCTGTGGGTCTGGAACAAGAAAGGACCTGACTTTGAAGGAGGACAGGGAACCCAGGAGTTCCTGCTGTGGGAGAAAAAGACATTACCTGCAGGGTTTCCCCTGCAACTCATTTACCTTCCCACACCTCACCCACATGCACCACTGCCAAGGTAGGGGCTGTAACTTGGAGGGAGAACAGAGGTGAGAGAAGGGGGTTCAGCATGTACATGTATGTACATAACTGTACATACAGACACACACACCACCCCAGCCAAGGCTCTACTACACAGACAAGGCAGCCTCAAATGGCAGCCTTTCAGCAGTGCTGGCAGCAGTGCCCTGTCTGCCCTTCAGTGTACAGAGTACAGGGGACCTCCTTTGCCTCCTGGGCCCTCTCAGCCCCTCTGCTGGTGACCACAGGAGGGAAAGGGAAGAAGCCTAGCTAGAGCCTGTCCCTGAGAAGTGGGCTTGAGAGTGGCACTCTTCTCTGAGGATCCCCACAGCTGTCAGAGAGGCCTGGACAGGGCCAGAGGCCCCTGCCATGATCCAGCTCTCATACTCAGATGTGTTTTGAGCAAGGTTCGAATTCCCATCCCCTGGGAAGTGTCTAACTTGTCTCCATTCAGAATCATCAGAGACAGCATCAGAGACAGTGCTGGGACTTCATAGTCTGCCATACAAACTCAAACTCTGTTCTGTTCTGCTGATACCAGCCCCCCCTTCCAGGCATCCCTTGTGTTTAAGAATCAGCCGGAGACCAGGTGCCATGGCTCATGCCTCTGGAAGGCCAAGGCAGGTGGATTGCCTGAGCTCATGAGTTTGAAACCAGCCTGAGCAAGAGTGAGACCCCTGCCTCTAAAAAATAGCCAGGCATTGTGGTGGACACCTGTAGTCCAAGCTACTTGGGAAGCTGAAGCAAAAGTATCACTTGAGCCCAAGAGTTTGAGGTTGCTGTGAGCTATGGCAACAAAGTGAGACTGTGTCTAAAAAAAAGAGAGAGAGCATCAGCCTGAGCCAAGCCACTGCAGCCTCTAGAAGCCCTTTGCCTGTTACGGCCAAGTTCCACTTCCAGATCATTTGTACATACCAGACGGAGCCTGGACTTGAGGGGAAACATGATTGAGGTGCTATTGCCATTATCAAACCCACAAGCCCCATCCCTTCACATGAAGGAGGCAAGAGAATCCATTCTGAAAACTAGAAAGATTCTAATTCTCTCACTTCTCCCCTTTGTACGTGTACCCCAATTCCAGTCCCCACACTCCCAGAGCTGGAGTGTACAATCCACAGACTGGACTCATAGTTGTGGCCAGATTGCTCAGATAATCAAGCCTCCTCCTCTCCTGCAGCATCTTGAATACCTCTTGTGCCCAGGAGTTCACTACCTCTCAGGACAGTCTCTCTAATTTTCTGGAGGGCAGCTCTGAAGACACCCAATGTGACCAGTGACTACCTCAGCCCCAGAGTTACTCCTGTGGACTGGGCTATTGCCCCTGCCCCTGTGCCAAAGATACTTTAGTATAAATTAGTATTTTACCTACTATCTAGGCTCTAGGAAAGCACTGGTGAGGGGTACATTTGGGGGCAGGGTTGTCATTGAGCTCATGATCAGAAAAGTCTAGAGATGCTGAAATGGGAAGGTTTGCCAGTGCACATCTGTAATCCTAGCACTCTGGGAGGCTGAGGCAGGTGAATTGCTTGAGCTTAGGAGTTTGAGACCAGCCTGAGCAAAAGCAAGACCCTGTTTCTACTAAAAATAGAAAAACTAGCTGGGCATTGTCCCTAGTGTCCATAGTCCCAGCTACTTGGGAGGCTGAGGCAGGAGGATCGCTTGAACCCAAGAGAGGGGTTGCTGTGAGCTGTGATGCTATGGCACTCTACCGAGGGTGACATAGTGGGGAAAAAAAAAAAAAGAATGCTGCTCTTCTGATTTGCTGAATGACCTTGGGAAAGTCCCTGCCCCCCCTCTAGGCCACTTGTCACTCTATGAAGTGGAGAGGATGAGCCTAGTGACTAATGAGTTTGCAGACATTCTGAATCACTTATAACAGCCCCTTGCCCTGAATCACTTATAACAGCCCCTTGCCCTGAATCACTTATAACAGTCTCCTTTCTCACAGGAGCATTTTGCCCATTCCTTCCCCCATCAGGGGTCCACAGAGACTCAGAGACAGGCTGTGACTTTGATTTGCTTTATTTAGCCTGCATGGGAGCAGAGAGCAAGCTTTGACCAGAGCAAAGGGTGTAGAGGGGCAAGCTGGGCTGGCGCTGCTTATGGAGTCATAAGAAGCAGGAGGTGGCATTACAAGTCCATCGGGCTGAGGTCCCTGTGAGGACAGGAGAGAATGTGGCAGTGGAGAGCAGGCCTCTTGCCCTTAGGAGACCTCAGGCTAGCCCTGGGCCCCTGTTCTCCCGCCCCCTCCTCTTCCCAAGCCCTGATTCAGCCCCCCATTTCAGCCCCAGGGAGCTGGGCAGAGAAGGCAGAGAATCAGACTCACCTGGGGGCAGCTGCATGGGGGGAGCCCCACTGCAAGGAGCCCAGTGTGTCTTCTTTGTCTCTTCTCCCATACCTAAGAGGAAAGAGACAGTTAGGGCAAGCACTGTGCCCAGGTGCCGGCTCACCTGCCTCATACCTACCCATAGGGACCATCCTGCCTGGGGCACTTGGGCCCAGGCCTGGTCAGTAGAGATGCTCTGTTTCCCCAAGAGCAGGTGTGGAAGGGGATAGGGACTGGGACGGGGTTGGAAGTGTGGCCAGGAGTGCAGAGAGGGCCCAGGCTTGCAGGGGCCACATCTCTCTCCCCGTCTCTTGCACATACCTAGGTCTGGTCAGCATGTTGATGTATCTGCGGAGCTCAGCTGCATACTGGGCCATCTGCTCTGGTGTGGCATTCTCCCCTGGGTACACCGGCTCCAGTGGGGCTCCTTGGGCGCCCAGTGGTGGCGGCAGCAACAGAGCCACACAAGTGGACAGGAGCAGCAAGGAGAGGCAGCGGCGTGTGGCAGCCATCTGATGGGCAGGGAGTGGACAGGTGGAGATGCAATAGGACCCAGTCTGCAGATTCTTCTATGCCCAGGAAGCTGGGCCCACCTGCCCAGCCCCTGAGCTCATCACCCATCTCTCCAAGTCTGGAGATAAGGAGGCAGAGCTGAGTGCCCCACCTCCCAGACACTGCTCTGGAGGGCACAGGCAGCCCTTCCTGTGAGCAGCAGCAGCCAAAGGTCAGTCAGAGCCTCGGCAAGGTACAAAAGTATAGCAGAGAAGGGGGACATGAGACCTAGAGACAGGAGGCAGAAGTGGGATGGGGATTCAAGGGAAGGGACTGGTCGGAAATAGGGGGGACACTCCAGCCCACCCTCAGGCACAGGGCACAGAATGAACTTGTGAAGCAAGGGGCAGAAATCCACGGCCTGGTAGGTCTGACCTCCCCCCAGGGTAGAGACACAATTATGGATCCTGGAGAAAACACTATTGCCCATGTCACCCTGTGCAGAGAGGGACAGGGACACACACAAAGCTCCCAATCACTTACAAGGTCTCAGTCACACATTCCAGCTCACAGCTACACAAACGCACGTACACACTCGCACTCAACAGTCTCCTCTTCTAGAGCAACAGATTTGTCCAGATGCAGAGCAAGACTCGAGCAAGACCTTAGCCTTCGCAAGGTCCCCAGGTCTGAAAACCACAAACTCCTTCCCTCCATTTTAAGCCTCAGCCCCGAGGAGTCCTCCTGAGCCCAGGGCAGGCAAAGCCCACTTACACTGAGTCCGGAGAGCAGATGACAGACAAAGCGGGCACCTGCCTCAGGCCAGATGAGTCCCCCTGCCCCCTCAGCTGTGCCCCTTTATAGTCCTTCAGCCCCCCCCACCAGAGTCTCCACCTCCTGTCAGCCTCTGTCACTCCCCAGCCCTCACCCCTTCCCCCCCACTGTCTCCCTGGCACTTGCAACGCCAGCACAGGGGACAGGAATGGGAGGAGGACAGGGCAGTACTGTGGGTGCCAGACGAGCAGCATAATGGATAAAACTGGGTCACTATAAAAGTCTCCAGTCTCCTGTAGTCCCCCACCCCAGATACCCTTCCCTTCGGGTTCCAGGACAGACTTGATTCAAGAAGATCTGGATTTTGGGTGGTGCCTATGGCTCAAGGAGTAGGGTGCTGGCCTCATATGCCAAGGGTGGCAGCTCAAACCCAGCTCCGGCCAAAAAAGCAGCAAATAAAGAAAAGTTACAAGAAAAGATCTGGATTCTGGCTCGGCGCCTGTGGCTCAAGTGGCTA